ATATTTTGTATGCTGTCTAGTTGTTACATTGTTTTCTAAGTTTTATATGTATCTATTGTGATTAGAATAAACGTTTCTTCTTTCTTTCTTAAATTGGTGCTTTGGGTGACTGATAAATTTGGCAAAAAATATATTTACAAACGTCTCTTGTAAATAAATAAAGACGAGAATTACAAGTACATTAACAGAAAGACACTAGTAAACATTATGCTCACAACATTTATCCAGCAGTGGGTAATTGAACTCACTCTCCGGCACGAGACGCAGGCTTCATAATCACTAGCCAATCGATGTAATGGATTTTGACCGAATGTTTTGGAAATCTCACCTTGGCGTTGCCTAAAAGAGGACATGAAAAAAAAATTGAAAAATATATTCCAAATTCAAACCATATACCAAATTTAAAATCTACAAATGCAACCTTAATAAAGCTTAAAGGCCGTTCAGCACGTGGAACCACCGATAGTGTTATGTGATAAATTGTACTTTATTACTAACAGCCTATTCAAGCCCCACGGTTGGGCAAAGGTCTCGTCTGAACAGAGGGTGTTACGGAATAGGCCACCACTGCGGATTAGCAGTCTTCACATATCTTCGCAATATTATTCGGTATTTGAACTCGGGTTGCTCGAGTACATTGATTTAAAATCTGAGCTATCACTGAGCTATCACTGCTATAATGTGAAAAGTTGTAACCCTTAATCTTTATAAGCCCCACTGAATCACAACAATGTTATTGAATTCATTGTCTTCCTCGCACTAGGGTCACAAAAAAGAAAGAAATAAAAAAATTGCAATTCTATAGAGTGCAATATCTTTCCGTCTCATGCGTTCTATATCATCTGTTACATTCACTTATATGTCACTACGTAGTATAAAACAAAGGCGTCCCGCTGTCTGTCTGTCCCTATGTATGCTTAGATCTTTAAAATTACGCAACGGATCTTGATGCGGTTTTTTTTACTAGATAGAGTGATTCAAGAGGAAGGTTTATATGTGTAATACAATGCGCCCGTGCCAAGCCGGGGCAGGTCGCTAGAATCAATATAAGAGCCGCATGATCGCTTGCCACGATTTTCAAAAGAACATATAAAGATGACGTTTGTCCATATTACGGCGTACAAAAATTATTCCGTTTTACATTGTATGACATATATAAGAGAATGTGACAGATGATATAGAACGAATGATACGGAAAGAGATAACAGTCTATTGAGTTGCAAAATAATTACACCAATTGGCGGAATTTTCAGTCCCTCAGTTTCGGTGTGCTAGTGCTATACTACCCCATATTTATATATAATAGAAAAACAGTAAGATGTCATTTAAGAGCCCTCTAAAGTTGCAAAATGCGCGACGCACAAGCCGATAGAACATTGCCGCGATGTTAATAAGGTAATTAATTCAATTCGGTATTTTACATATGATACGTTATCTTCCCGGTCGGATCGTTCCATAGTTTCCTTATTATTTGTAGTCGCTAAAATGAACGCGAAATATCCATCGGTTTATTTGTCGGATGATTCGTAGCCAAGATAAGGGTGTGGTTATTCATCATCATCGTCATCATAAGACGTCCTCTGTTGAACATAGGCCTCCCCCTTAGAACGCCACACCACAAAGAAAGACACTTTGCCATTTGCATCCACCGGTTGCCCGCGACTCTTACGATGTCGTCGGTCCACCTGGTGAAACGCCTTCTAGGATACTACACAGACATTCTATCCATTCATCTAGAATAGATAATAATAGAAAATGGGTGATGAATAATGACAATAGTAATCCACGTCTAGATTAACCCTGTTGTATACACTTACGAGTTTGCGAGATTAGATTATAGACCTTTCATTTGCAGACAAAATTCATATTAGGTTGCCACGGAAATTTTACCACCAAAAATTCCGTAACCTATTACGTTTAAGCAATGATAATGTCGGCGATAAGCGGAAGACCCTGTAACTAATTCATACGATGTTTTGGGAGAAATGAAGGAAATCTGAGCTAGTGATTTGTTAAGAAAACCAGATGACACCCCTTGAAATTTTAATATTAAAGCTGACATTTACGATTTACTACCTATTACGTTTCACTTATCAGATATAAAAAGGAATCTTAAAGTGTTAGCAAATAAAAGTGGACTCCTTAGATACATTTTAATTTCAGCAAACAATAAAATTGAAACATTTCACTGCAATTGTTTCTATCAATGCACTAAACAGACGTGATAATCATCCTTTCGTTTCGCCATCAGTGTCTGTGTTCCCCAATGGTCTTCATGATAGAATTTTCGAGTGTGATCAGCCTCGCTTTGCACCCCAGCTTCCTCTGCTGAGCGCACTGCCACCGTATCTTCGGGCCGCAGGTGGAATGTATTTGATACCTATACGGGCCCAACTCAATGACGGGCTTGCCGCGTTGGGAACACGTGAACTTCGGCTGCCATTCTGAAATATTGACGACTTTAAACGATTCTAGCGATTGACTGTGTTAATGTAACATTGCAAATTTATTCGATACGTCATCGATGTTAATGGAGACACTGTATGATATTATTGCTTGTAGAAATAGGTGTTACATGGAAATAAGTGGAATGACACAGCTGTCGCGTTCCACACATTGCTATATCCACTATATAACAGTAAATAAAACAATGTGGTAAACAGCTAGTAATAAGCCACTCGACATTGACATAAATATTTTTATTAATATTCGATCGTAGACAACCAGATAATCATTTTTATCATAAGTCCGACAATCATTTAGTACAAGCATTACGTAGTGTGACTAGATAATCTTGATATAGTGAAGAAGCTGTAGTTTTGAAACTGATTCACCGGTGACTTCAAGACGAACGTGCTGAATTTCTACGGAAAAGGAGCATTTCGTGATCAGGTTTGTTGCCATCAGTGATTGTGTTCACGGAATGTACTTATGATGGAGTTCTCGACCGTAAAAACAGTCGCTTTGCAACCTAATCTCCTCCGCATAGCACACTGCCACCTCGTCTTCGGGCCGTTGGTGGAATGTATTTGAAACTTATACGGGCCCAACTCTATGACGGGTCTGCCGCGTTGAGAAGACGAATACGTTGGCTCCACATCTGAAATATTATAAGCAATAGTGGCGATTTTTAATGCGCTATCAATGACGCATCATGGAGTAAGTTTATGTGAAATCGTAACATACTTACACTGCGATGCAGCATCTACAATGTACTTAATCTAGTTATTGGTGAAAGTCTGGTATTATACAACGGTTTCAAATTAATAAAGAGACGGAATATAAAACGCATAATAAAAAATTTTTAATAAATTTTCTTTAATCTTATTGTTTATATAATCGGCTAAACTCACGTAGAATCGGTGCAAGTATCGACTAGTATTGGACCTATCGGATCGGATCGGCCTTCATCAGGATGAGAAGGGATGTATTCGCAGGTCGCACCCCGTCTTGCAAGACGCAGTTCAAGACGATTGACTATCATCTTTTTCTTTTAAGAGATACAATTTGCTGTTTATTCGATAGTAAAGGACTGCCACACAGGTTCGTCTGTGAGAGCAAAAAGCCCGTTGGTGTGTTTTGCCAATTTTTTATGAAGGAGCCTCGGTATTACATTCAGTTTTAAGTTATTGTATCTTGTCTATTGCCTTCAGTGTTCTTATCTCCCATATAGGTATTTAGGGGACCGAGTCAAACATTAATTTCAAAACTTATCGCTTGAATAGAGACACTGTATAAGCTATAATATCGATTGCTTGTAGAAATAGTTTTTTTATTATTATCATTAAAGATATACACCAAGATATAGATTATCAATTTATAAAAAAGGAAAAAAACAGTTACCAAATATAATAATAAATTAATAAATTCCAACTCCATTATGTACACCTATAAAAGGTGTGTTCAACATTTACAATATTGTGAAAATAAATTTTAAAAGAAAATTAAAAAACTACAACTAATACATAAAAAATTAAATACAGACAATACCCTAACGTAACAATGAAAATGAAAAAAAAAAAATTAAACAAAATTAAAGAAAGAGTATATTATTGAAAAGACTTCAGTGACTTGAAGGTTTGTTGTCATCAGTGATTGTGTTCGCGGATTATTTTAACGACGGAGTTCTCGATCGTAATAACAGCCGATTTGCAACCTAATCTTCTCCGCATAGCACACTGCCACCTCGTCTTCGGGCCGTTGGTGAAATGGATTAAAAACTTATACGGGCCCAACTCCATGACGGGCTTGCCGCGTTGAGATGACGAAAACGTCGGCCCCAAATCTGAAATATTATAAGCAATTGCGTCGACTTTCAATACGCTATCAATGACGCATCGAGGAGTGTATGCGAAATCGTAACGTAAGTGTTCTTATATAACATATACAATATTCTGAATCTAGTTGTTGATGAAAATCTGATATTATACAATGGTTAAAAATTAGTAAAGAGACGGAATAAAATTAATTTATTAAACTTCAATAACCTTGTTTTTGTTAAGTCAATAATTAAGCTGAGTATATATATAGTAAAACGGTACTCACCGTTTTACTATTCAGCTCAATGACAACTAGGTGAGTACGTAGAATCAGACCTAGACCTATATGGACCTATCGGAGTTTCTTCATCAGGGTGAGAAGGGATGTATTCGCGGTCGCGCCCCGTCTTGCAAGACGCAGTACAAGACGGACTAAAAATGGCGGATATTAATAATGTCTCACGAAAGTTTTATTATTTTATTAACAATTTACCTACTACATAAACGTATCGACCAAGGACCGAAGCCCAACATTGAATTTTTCAACAGTATTTATAAGATTTCAGTACACAGAACAGTATTTAGAAGATTTTATTTTAATTTTATTAGTATGATGAACGTCTCTAAATATAGAACTGTATTCAAACGTGTCTTAACGCATAAATTACTTTAACAATTTCTCACTTTATTTCCTCAATTCCCACAATAACTTCGACTATGCTGTTATCATGAAACTATCTAAGCTATGGCGAAGTCGTCGCCAAAATACATGTCATTAGGTTGAACATTTCTTTGTCGACGTCTACTGGGGGTCTCTTGCCATTGTAGCCGGTAGCCCATCTGTTCCATGTGTTTATTGTATTTTATGGTTGCCTGCCTCTTTTGTTTTCTTCTTATATATTTTACTTTCTCCTTCTCTTGCTCGATCTGGAAAAGCGTTGGGTCATTCTTGATTCTCTGGTAGCGCTCCCTCATGTATCTTCTTTTCGCCTCCTTTTTCTCCTCCAAACTCTTCTTCGTCGAATGTCTCATAACGAGATACTCTGCAAACAAACTTCGAATGAGTATGACCGTATGATGATTCCGACAATTTCGATTTTAAATAATCATCGTTAATTATTTTCGAAAACCAAGGCTATAACAGTGAACGCTACAAAGTTTTCTCAATATCTATGAAAGGATAAGGTTACTTAATAGGGACAATTCAACCATAGTCCTTCACCTCGGTTTTAACAAAATTCTCCTAAAGGTACGGATGACAAAGCTAGCAGCTGCAACTATCTTTGCAAGTTGAATTTCTACGTACTCCTCTGTCCGTGAATGTTTATGTGTGAGTTGAAAATAAATAGTACGTCACGATTCAATCTTCCTATGGCAATAAATATCTGTCTAGTAGGCGATTCACACAATGTTGCCTACTGCCGCCTATAAACATGTACAAAATCACACGGGAGACATGAATTTATAGGCCGGGAGACTTGCTTGACACATCTTTAACCTAATGTCTTATCCCGAACTTTTTGCAAACGGTCTATAAAAAACTTTATTACTAAACGAGATAGTGCTTGCCTACCACCCAAGCAGATGTTAATAACACAGTTTTCAAACCTCAGTCGTGCTGCAGTCGTGTTTCAAACTTCAGGCGCGAAGATTCCCATATAGTAATTAGACAGTAATAAGAAAGCAGGTCGGTTGTTCCAATACGAATAACCTTAACATAACATTAAGAATAACCACTTAGACGTCAACACGACTCCGGGGCGGTCTATTATCTTATTTAAATACTAAATTTAAATAAACTCATACTTAAATACCAAATTATCCTGTTCTTTCAAGTCCAAGTAGCTTAAACGCATGGCTATTGAGTTATTTATTGTAAATAAAACAACCTCATTCATATTCTTGAAGAAAGAAGAGAAACAATTCAAATATGTAAATTAAAATATTCGTAAAATTATAAACAATAGGCCCAATTACGTTGTAATCGGCGCGCGCTAAAAAGCCCAGCAAATAACAATTTAAATATAGAATAGATGCGGCTTATCATCATATTATTGAGTCTCTTCACGTAGTCTTGATTTATTACATATATAATTATATGTTCCTGTATTATATAAAACGCAAACCTAAGTACGTATCGGGCAGTTAAAAATTTTCAAAATTAAGACCCGTTTGCTGTTTCTATTGCGTTTCAAAACCACGTCGTTCTCTATACATTGTCATTTCTATTGAGAATTAACGCTAGATAATATACTTCGCGGAATTATTTTGAAATATCGCCTTTACGTTGCTCGGTCGCCTTGATTCGAATTTGAGTCGCATCGGAAGCTAATATCGTCGATAACAAAATATAGTTCTTCCTTATTTGCGTCACCTTGTATCCATGATCGAGGCAGAAAAGACTGACGGGAAAATGTGTACGTACGTTTTAGTGACTAATATTTACAAGCTTTCCTTGTAGACGCTCAAAGAGTCGCGTTAAAAACGAGCCTATTATCGACACATACTCGGCGGCGCAGTTTCTAAGCTATCGTGGGTTCGATTCCCACACGGGACAGGTGTTAGTGTGACTAGAGATGGTCGTTTTTCTAACAACGATGTTGACATCGGATGTTAGTTTGCGATGTTGGCATCCGTTGGTGAAATGCCTAACATCGGATGTCACCGACATCGACAGCCGATTTGGTAACGAACATTACCGAATATTGCCGATCGTTGTTCGTTGATCACAGACATCGACCGATGCACGATTGTCGCCTTGGTCGTGTTAGCGTCGTTGTCCAAAACAACAATGTTGACATCGGATGTTGTCTGGGAAACAACTATGTGCATCGATGTCAAAAATTACCGCCAACCCAAGCCTAAGTGTGAACCACAGATAATTGTTCCGGATATGGACGGCTGTTTCCAAAAGAGAGTGAGGGTTGAAGTCAGGCAGGCGGCCGGTCTGGTCAGCGAACACGGGGGAATTCGTTGGACATGAAAAAGGGGCGGAGTAGGAAGGCGCGCTAAATATTCCAGCGCGCCTTGCCTGGAGGAGAGGGGGTTGCTCCCCGGGAGGGGGCTGCTGAGGCGGCCAGAGCTGCTAGGGTAGGAGAAGTGTGCGAAAGCGTTCCCGTGGCCCTGCCGATTTTTGCCTAGGTGGAATATCGTGGAGGGTTTTAGTCGGTGCGAGTCCGACATAACCCACTCTCGCCCCCGCTAGGGTGGATATGCGTAGGCATTTCCCTCACGTTAACAAAAAAATGGCAGGCGGCCGGTAGTGAAAAACCCTAGGCAAAACTTAGGTGGGATAAGGGCAGCGGTAGAGGCCATACGTCCTGTCCTCAGGAAGTGGCTGGACAGGCGACACGGCACCCTAAAAAAAAAACTGCAGATCGGGACATGGTTATTTTTTTTTCGCGTTTAGGAGGGAGCCAGCCACAGCGGAATGTCACCACTGTGACGTATGTGCCGAGGAGACGGCCCAAAACTGATTCGTGCTCACCTGGACGGAGCAGCGCCAAGAGTTGTGCGCTATCGTGGGGCACGACCTCGTTGCCTGCCATGGTTCGCGCTATGGTTGACACGGAGAGAGTGTGGGATGCTGTCCTCGCATATTGCGAGGAGGTTATCCCCCGGAAGGAAGTCCGCGGAGAGAGAAAAGGAGCAACTGCCACCCTGGAAATCCGCCGCCGGAGACCATTATAGGCTGGCCTCGCTTTTCAACCTGCCCCCCTGATAGCGAGACCCTGAAAAGCAGACATTCTCTGTCGCTCAATATGGGGCTCGAGACGTCTGCTGTGCCAATTGCACCGGAACGATCACGATTTCATATAGGGAGGCCTGGGCCATAGTTCTTGTATTTCGCGGAAGATTGCGTCACGTGTTCCCGTGTCCCCGGCCGAAGCGACAGAACAGGAGCAACGTGGGTTTTTTTACCCGATTTACCGGGACTCCTTTTAACCACTGCCACTCCCGCGATCCAGTGGCAGGGGATCCATAAACAATTTTTCCCACAAAAAAAAAGGTGGGATAAGGGCAGCGGGTTGATGATGATTTATATGTATAAAAAAAAACTGGTCTTATTTTTTTTATTTAACAAGCTCCGTTCACAAAGTATACGAACGAAAATATTCGTGCTATCGACGTCATCAGTATTAGTACATGTGATGAATTAATCATATCGAAGCTGTTAAGAGTCAGCTCCATGTTATTTCAACATTATACAGGCTCTCTTTTCTTTAATACTAATTCTTGTATTTACGCGATCATTTCATATATTTACGGATGATTTCTTGTATTTACGCGATTACACATTATAAATGAAAGTATTTTTACTGATTTATCGCTTCGTTTTTAAATTTAATTTCCGACGTTTCTAACCCTTTTCAGCCTTTATTGTCCAGGGGCAGACTAAGGCGTTGGACGTCTGAAAGCTGTTACTTTAAAGATTAACTGTGAGCCAGGGCCCACTTTATTAAAAGTGGGAATGCATCTGCAACCCTATGGGTGTCGCAAATGCCAGTGGGCGGCGGTTATCACTTAGGTTAGATGGACCGCCAGATCACTTGTCACATTCTCGCATAAAAAAAAATATTACTTAACCGGTTGCGGGTCGTTCGGCGACTGAGGTTAGGTACTGGGGCCCTTGGAACGTCCGTTCCTTTAAGTATATCGCCCGTTTCAGATAAATTAAAAAAGATACGATTAAAGACCTCCTATTTAATTTTTCTTAAGAATACCTGAAAAAAAGATTCTAAATTAAACATTTACTAACAGACTAAATTACAAAAAAAAAAACACAAATTTGCAGAATAGCTTTCGGCTTATGAACAGCCGAGATTTTTCATGTGTAAGAGTAAACAGTGACGAATGGTTTAACCAATTCCGTGTAATTTATTCATTTTCATGTGTGGATGTTTTAATAAAGTTATATCAAAATATTATGTTAACTTCGAAGAAATTTCGAAGTCATATTTTTTATTGCGAAGAAAAATTTTAATAGGAAATTGAATACATACATATATTTTTCTACATGTTTTAACATACATATATGATAAAATATCAATCAAATAAACGATAATTATGATAACCGGCCGTATTTTAGTCTAGATATTGTGTTTACGATAGGTAAATATGTAAGAGAAAAGGAGGTAATGTGTTTTTGGCTAGTTATGTACGACTCACTTTGGTTTCTCAAAATAATTCACTTGAAAAACCACAACTTCCCTGAGAAACATTGACCATATTTTTTTTTGTTTTATGAGGTAAACTTGCTGTCTATCCAATGGTAAAGGATGGCCACACATGGAAGTCTAAGAGCAAAATGCCCGCTGGTGCGGTTGCCAAACTTTTAGGAACAAAAAAAAAACAAACAAAAGGAACGCGAAAACAAAGTTGCTTGTAATACGGTGCTTTTTACCGCGCTACAAAAAAGAGTACACGCATTATGAAAGCCCCACGGCGGTAGTTGTGGGCTCATTACAGCCGATTATCGACCCGGGCGAGACGAATCAGTGCCCGTCATCAATTAGAATCGATTACTTTGGTCAGCGGTCTGAAGTTCTCATGCCGGTCTGCAGGAATGAATGCGTCATCTCTGTCTCGGGAAGTATTGTCTAATGCTATGACGTAGGAACATAATAGTACGTTCCGAGTAGTAGTTGGACTTGCTCGAGATTAGGTCACAGATTTTTTTTTATGGAGAAAGTGATAATGTTATACAGTAGAGCAGCGGCTCGCCTGATGATAGCTCATCACAGTTGTCTCAGGTTGAAATCCCCAACGAGAACAATGTTCTCATTTCTTACCTGCGAAATCGCTGGCACTGGAACTACCGAAGCGGTGAAAGCTGCAGTCTGCATAGCACCTGTCTACCGTGATAGACCAAAATACGTGATAGATTGTTAATAAAGGCCCATGCTAGATACTTTATGCAGGTACACAAGACAACGAACCACAACTAATGATTTCGGAAAGTAGTGGAATAACCATGTGCTAAAATAGTGCGTTTCTGAAACATATTGTTATACTATTGCGATACGAACTTATAAACGCATAAGAAAGCTCAATATTCATTATTGAAACATTCATCAATTGGAGTAAATGCCGAAAGATACCGCGAATACCAACTCTATATTTCTAGTCTACGAGGTACAAATACATGTACATAGTTCGTTTCATAACTAAAAACCCATATGAAGAATTACAATAATTGGTAAAAAAAAATATGTTATGACTAAAAATTTAAAGAAATTGGGAACTTTAATTTGACTTGATTACAATTTTGAATCAAAGTTAATTAAATTGAGACAAAACATTATTTTTCGAATTCTGAACGAGAAATAATTCGTTAAGATAATCTACTAACTACTACTAACGGTTGCAACATTCATCAATTGTCGTAAAAATCTTTTTTTGAAGTTTTCTTTATTCGAATGAAAGTTCACACAAACTCGATATTACCTACTTAGATATTTAGTTTAAGATGACAAATTTTCAATGAAAAATTCTTTCTCGAATCCAAAGACCTAATACATAGAGACACAATCCCTAATAAAGTTTTTAATTGGTTCATTATAAACTTTATTAGGGATTGAAGAAGGAGGAAATTGTAATAAAACATATGTTTTAAAAGGAAATAAATTTAAAATATTAAATGGCATAATATTTATGTAAATGTAAGCATTTGATATAACTTAATCTGCGTATAAAATGCATTGCATTTAATTAAGGAGTTTTTCCTTGTGTTGTTGCATTGGAGTTGAACACGCTAGCTAAACTGTCGCTATTTCGTCGTGAACATTTTGTATACACAATCCTGTGGGAATTGTGCACTATACATTTTTTTTAATATGTAAAAGTGGCAAACGAGCTGGCGGTTCACCTGATGTTAAGTGATAATCGCCGCTCATGGACATTTGCAACACCCGTATGGTTGCTGATGCGTTGCCACCTTTTGCTAAAGTGGGCCCCGGTTACCTCACCAGACGAAACGCAGAAGTGTAACGCTTCTACTTCACGTCGGTCTTCTGTGAGGTCGAAGTACTAACCAGGACGGACCTGTCCATTCGTGCAACAGTGAACAGTCTTGCTTAGCCCTACCACAGTACATTACAGTTACATTATTGGTGGCTAGCGGTACCTCTGAAACATTTCTGTTATTTAGGTCAAGCATTGGGTGGTCATCACTTGTCTTTTTGGAACAAGAACTCAGTTTTGAGTTCAAAGTTTTTAAAAAAAATTACTTTTTATCTCTGTCAACGAAATGTGGTGACGGTCACACAGAGTGGTTTTGCGCGACTGGGATTGCGATCTCCAGATGGAAGATATTAAAGCGATCTCGATTTAGTAGATATTTATGTTTGATGCGATGCCCTAACTCATACATTTACATGCATGCATGTGTTACGACTGATAAATTTAACTAATGTAAAGAATTGTCTTAAAGAAGTGAAAAAAAATTTTGTCCGGAAATATAATTTATAAAGAAGTTCATTTTATAGCAACCTTATCATATACGGTACGGTATCTATTTTGCACCGCATTGATAACAAAAACATATTACATACGTGTTATTAAATTTTCCAAAACAACGAATTTTAGAACATCCTTACGTATAAAACTGTAACGTAAAGTTCATTTGTAAAGGTTACAAAGTTTAGGAATGGGTTGAATGAATTTAAGAGGCAACTGTTAGGAGAAGCTTGTAATGCGACGCTGTGGCAATGAATGAAAAAGTCTCTGAATGTATGAATCAGTCAGTTCTAGTTGTATAGGTGTTACAAATTTTGTTTCTTTTTTTACTTAATTAGTTTGTTTGAAAAATATTTTTTTGAACGTTAACATTT